TTATTCTGCTTTCCTACCTTTATGCCATGCTTTCTGGTGGTAACGGCAATTCTCTAAATCTCCATATTTTGCTGCTGTTAATTTCTTGAGCGATGGCAGTCATTTGTTTTCTTTCCAAGAGGGAAATTGTGTCCTCCTTTATTTGCCATATGAATTTTATCCATGTGACTAATGTGTTTTTTTTTGTTACAGGGACAGACAATGCAAATGATGTATGAAGTCATAGCAAATGAGTTGAAATCCATGAATCTTGAGAATTCACACCCACAAGACTACTTAAATTTCTACTGTCTTGGTAATAGGGAAGAGGTGCAAGGTTCAACCAATTCTGGTGATCAAACGGTAACAATACTGCACACTGCACGGAACTTATCTTCCACCTATCCAATGATCACACATTCTTTTCCAAGAAGATAAAAACTTCTGATAACTAAAAAGGATCGATTGATTTCCATTCATTCATTGAGTGGAAAACGGGGAAGAGGCAGAGTTATTATAGTTCCGTTGATACACTAGCTAATTTCAAGCATAGCATCATATATGTTCCTTTTGTCTTGATAATTTTGTGGTGACCATTTTTCAGGTTTCAATATCTCAAAAATTTCAACGGTTTATGATTTACGTACATGCAAAGGGAATGGTAGTCGATGATGCGTATGTAATACTGGGGTCTGCCAACATTAACCAACGATCTATGGCCGGTTCAAGGGATACTGAGATAGCGATGGGTGCGTATCAGCCCCATCATACATGGAGCAATAAGAAGAGGCATCCACGAGGCCAGGTTTATACCTTCATTATTGTAGTTCAAACCTGAAACAATTCCTTCAGTTTTATTGCCTACATTCTAGGATATCCCAGAGCCCAAGCCAATTTAATTGCTATCGAACATTTTCTCACTGGATATGCCTTTGTAAGGATTCTAACCTCGGTTAGCTGATCAAGCTTATTGATGTGTCTTCTTCAGGTATACGGATACCGAATGTCTCTCTGGGCAGAACACTTGGGGTTGGTTGATAACTCGTTTAAAGAGCCTGAAAGTCTGGATTGTGTCAAGAGTGTGAACAAAATCGCTGAAGATAACTGGAAGAAGTTCACGGCGGAAAATTTTACACTATTGCAAGGACACCTTCTTAAATACCCTGTGCAGGTAGATGGAAATGGCAAAGTAAGCCCCTTCCCAGGACAAGAGACTTTCCCAGATGTTGGTGGTAAGGTGCTCGGAGTCCGTACAAACCTCCCTGATGCATTAACTACATAGGTTCCAGTTTTGTTTTCGTTTACGAGGAACAACAACATACAGCTTATACTGATTCAATCAAGGTCTAGAGCCTTCTCAACTGTGCAATTTACTGGTGGCTGCCAATGTACTATAATTCCAATTACGGAATGGTGAATAAAAAGATCAGTCTGATGAATTCTGTATCTAGATCTGGCCACAGCAAGAGCTTCGACACTGCATTTTATAATTCTGCAGCTAGGGAAAAGGGGAAACTACATCTGCAAGAATTATCTGGTAATTAATGTATAGGATACAAACTGCACACGAATGCTCAAAGATGAAACATGATGCATCACAAAAACCACAACGTTGATAAAAATTAAAGGGCATAATACAATCTCTGTCCATCCCAGACACTCTCTCATTACTGCTTTCCAAAAAATAAGAAGAGACACATGAGATGATCCTTACAGATTCTTCATGTAACTAAACTTAATTAACGATCACTTTTCCCACCATGCCAGCTCCCTGGTGAGGAGAACAGTAGAAAGTGTATTCACCTTTGTCGCTCAAGGCAACTTCGTAAGTCTCTCCTTTGGCGTTGAGGAGATCCTCCTCGCTCATGGAGATTTTTGACACATCAACCCCACTTGGAACAGCGTCCTCGTCGAAGAGAACGTTATGTGGGAACCCGGCATTGTTCTTGAAGACAATCTTTTCACCAGCGGGTACAGAGAATTCGCTGGGAACAAAAGCCAATGATCCATCATCACCTCCAAGCAAGACGTCAATGGCCATAGCATTGCTAGCAATCATTGCGCTAGCAGCGGTGGCAACAGCAGCAGCACCGACTTCTTTCAATGAAGCCTTGATGCTGAGCCTTGGAAGTGGAGAGGCTGAAACCTTGGCACTGACACTGACTCTGGCATTGGAGGCACTGGCTGCCTTAAGACCGGTGAAAGATGGGATAGAAACAGCAGCAGAGGTGACGGTGGCCATTCTTGAACTTTTTTGTCCTGGTTTTTGCTGGTCTTGTTTGTGTTGTGTGCTGAAGGCGATTAATCGGAAGGAGTAGGGAATCTAGCTGGTTTTAATGGCGATGGAGTGCAAATGTGAGGCTGAGAGGTTCTTTTTGTGTGGTTTAAATTTTGCAGTTGAATGTGTGATTAGATAATGCGTGGCAAAGTGAATGGGCAGAGGAACTGGGTTATCTCTGAGGATTGCTCTCATTGGCTGGTTCGGATGTTCCTGACGTGGCATAAGTGTTTGAGCTGGACAAGAAACTGGTCCTTCATTTTTACCTTATCTTGAAATCTCAGGAATAAATTATGCTCACCACTGCTTGCCCTTTTGAGAGAAAATATTTTCTTCTTGACGAAGAGGGTGATAAGGAAATTTAACTAATAACGGATTAAATTGTTTTTTATTTAAAAAAATTAAAATATTTTTTTATTTTTTAAAAATTATTTTTAATATTAACACATTAAAAACATTATTTTAAATAAAAAATTAAAATTTAAAAAAATATGATTTGCACCCTGTTTCTGAACATACATTAAGTCTTACATATATTATGATGAGATGGAGGGTATTTTTATAAGAATATATTTTTATATTTTTAATTTTTAATTTCTACATAAAAAACAAATAAAAAAATTAATTTAATTTTTTTAAGATAAAAATCATTTTAAAAAACAAGTTAAATCGTATAATCAGACAGATAATCCGTGGACAAACTACGTCCATTCACTTTGCCATCCATTATCTAATCACACATTAACTTTGCCATGCATTTCTGCTCAACAAAACGACTTCACTTCTTAAGTTTTGTTATCCTAGTTTGTTATTAAATGAAGCTAGAAATGGGATCGATTGACAATTAGCTACATGGCTGGCTTTCAAACTCAATTATCAAAGCAGATTCGTGCTGTTCTTCCCCACAGCTGCACACCATCTGTTCCAATCATGTGCTCCAAACAAAATACATGGTAAAGATGGCATCTCTGTAGCACATATTTTGGCTAATGACGACCCTTCTAAGTCAATTTATTTTTACATTTCAAAAATATTTTCTTGAAAATAATTGATAATTTTTTTATATTTTTAATTTAATTTTTTTATATTTTTTAATTATTTTGATACATTGATATTCAAAATAAATTTTAAAAAATAAAAAAAATTATTTTAATATATATATATATATATATATATAAATATATATTTTAAAAAAACCTTTAAAAAAACAATTCATGATATGGTTCAGACAGCCTTAAAAACCACCGGGGGTTTTTTATACAAAAAAAGGAAGGGTTGGTGACTTGGTGATAGTCATAGAAATCACCAGGGCAGTGCCTGTCCAAGATCACTTCACCATAAATAACAACAAATTTAACCACAAGATGCTGTCTAATTTAGACATTTCATTATGCACACATGAAGAGGGTAGTTGAATAATTGGAAGGACTCTGATATCAGATCTATGCTTTAATTCAACCATCCCCAATACCTCCAACTGCAGATGGCACAGTGTAGACTTTAAAGTTAAGAAACTTCGGCTTAATCAAATTATGTCCCAGGAAGGAAGCAAGAGCACCTTAAAGCATCAGTTGCTAGCGCATCCTATTTGCAAGATGCTTAAAAATGATTACCCGGTAGTAATTCAGCCAAACTACAAGTAACTTGTTACGATTCACATATTGCCACCTGAAGGACTGCAGATCCACTGCAATCTACAGATGGTTCATCCAAAAGCACACACATGCTGTCTGATTTTGCAGTCACTAACTACCAAGGTTAAGAAGCTTGGAAACTATACGTATGGTTTTTTTAAAAATCAAAAGAAAATTCCAAAACACTATTTCCCACCATTTCCACCCTGGATCTAGTTTCTAAAAACAAAGCAAAAAGGAAAGAAAACAAAGAAGACAGGTTTAAAATCTCAGTTCTAACATAAACGCATGTCAAAACTAAAAATCCATTGGAAAAAAATAGAGATGCTAAGCACTACAGATGGATACTGGAAAAATAAGAGCATCTCAATCTGCTTCTGTTTCATTTAACAAAACCTGACCTACCCAACTGCTTGCTCACAGAATTCCATTATTGAGTATAAACAGCTCAGCTAATTCACTTAGTTTCCGCATAATATCACGAGAAGTTTCTCCAATAACCGTTATTTGTTAAATAACACTATTCATTGGTCTGACAAATATCATTCTTCCATCGCACATGTTATAGTTGCAATATTTTCTTTTTCCAATAATCAGGAAAAATGTCAGATAAGAAACAATAACTGCTATGATTAGTGACTACCAAACTAGCTTTATTGATATCCACTAATAGGTCCCCATAGAAAGTATAGCACAGGCTTAGGTAATCTGCATTCAAGCACCTCAACCAAATAGAGCAGGGTTCCTAGATCCGCAGACTGACATCATATTTATCTTCTACTCTCTTAGGCTCTAATGATGAATTTTTCCTCAAGATATATGAATATCAACCACAAGACCATATGTGCCCACCAAAAGGGCCATTGAAAAGATTTTCATTTCTCTAACAGTAATTTGTAATATATATGAGGGCAAAATGATTAAGAGCAATACAAACAAGAGATCACGCATCCGCAAAACTTAGAATAGAATGCTTGTCAACTCACAAATTTCAAGAGATCAAAGCAGACCTATCACAACTTATGCATACTATCAAAATTCTAATCTCAAAAGGTTACTGTCTAACAATACCAACGCTTGATCTTCCAAATTCCATCGACAACATTATGCGCAATTCCAGATAAAGTTTTTTCATCATAAATATTCATTCCAACATTATTAACTTTATGTTCAGCTCAAAATGAAACCTCACTTGTTATTAATGACACTAACATTCCAACTAGAACTAATAACAACATGAAAGACCCCCATGTACAACCCCAATATACACAAGTTCCCAGTATAATAAACAGAATGTACATCATAAGATCAATAATTTTCACCTCTTTAGATCGGAAACACATTGCTACCACCATCATCCACATCAAACAACTTGAATCCACCATCCCATTTAGCGTCTCGATAATTAAAGCCCGGGTTCACATAGCATTTCATCTCATGAAACAAGTTCAAATTATCCACTAGCTTATGAAACACATTGCAACCGCAACACTGCAAGAGAAATAAATAAATAAAATTTAACAACAAACCCTAACACTCCAAATCAAATAAATAACCAAAGTGACCCGATAATTACCTGAACGAAGACAGTGCCATCAGTGTAAGCATGGGGATTGATAGCGCGCGTAGTTCTTTGACCACAAACATTACAAGTGAAGGCCACGCGCATTCGCCTACGTGGAGATTTCGTGAAGAGAGACCACGGGAGAGTCGAGACTTTCTCCGTATTGAATCCGTCCTCAGACACAGCTGTCACTGAAGGTCCTTCCATGCCTGACCCTGTAGTCCATCCTCTCACCGATGCCGCACTCAATACCAATCCCATCGCCGCATCCTAATTCCCGAAATTGCCCCGATATAATCATCAATTTACCAATCTGTCAGTGTGAAAAAAATTGAACGAAAAATTAATTTTTTTACCTTGGAGAAAGAGTGGTTGTTGAAGAGAGGGACGATGCTGGAATCGTGAGAGCTGGATTGGAGATCCGAATCTTTCTTATCCTCTGATATTATAAAAATAAAATAAAAACGAATTGTAAAGGAGAGAGATGATAGAGAGTGTGTGGAGGGGACTTACTTTTTGAAGAAACGTGGAATCGGAGGAGTATGGGAGGAGTATTCAGTTCCTTTCGTTTTGGAGAAAAGGAGGAGAGAGAGGAGGAGATTGCGGCGGAGGAACTTAGAGCTTCCATGGCGGAGAAGAGACGCGAATGTCTTTGCAATGGCAGCGCCAGTAATGCTCGTGCGGAGTTGGGTTTTAGTGTCGGCCGATGCCTAGTGTATGGGCTTCATCTCGAACCTATTAATAGCCCAAAATAACAATGTGGGCTTTTTTCAATCTCTAGCCCAATGTACGGAAATAAAGAGATAGTATACCATTGACGTGTTTGCCTTTTTTTGTTTATCGTGCTTGACCAAATAATATTTGACTATTTATAGGGTCCAATATTTCATCGTTTATTACTAAAAAACATAGCTTGCACAAGAAATTGTATCCTCTTTGTGTTTGTAAATTATTTTCACGGAAATAAAGGGATTGGTGTACAACTAGAAAGAAGAAGTCCAATATTAATTATCAAAATGTAGAATTTGGCTGAAAATATGTGGAATCTTTGAGAATATCTGAACTAAGAAACTTGAACCAAATTAATTCTATTAGTTAATATTTACTCTTTATATATATATATATATATAGAAAGAGCTTTCTCGGATTATTTTGTACGTTAATCAAATCTTAAAAACATTTTCTTATGACCACAATGTACTGAATAATTTTAATAATTTCTTTTAGATGTCGTAACAAAGATTTAAATCTTAAATTTTTTTAAAAATATATCATCCAATTAATTTTTTATAGTTAAATAGTTAGTTACTTCTTTATTCTATTAAATTCTAATCGAATATTTAACTTGACTTAGATTTAAGAAGGAGTTATATTAAGAGATGGATATTTGCAGAACATAAAGAGTTTTTCTTGATTTCAAATACATGAGATTGAAATAAATAAATAAATAAATAATAAAAGTATAAGAACTAGTATTCCATGCATGAATACAAAATCCATTATTGGTAAAAAACAAGATATATTATTACCTTTTCTTTTCTTTTTTTGAGAATTTCTTGCTTACAAAAGGGAGAGACAAAAGCAACATCAGAACTCCCACCAACCAACAAACGGCTAGCTCAGATTCGAGTAGGCAAGGTAAGTCAAAATAGCAGCTGTGTTAAACCCATTGAAACTTGACCCAGCAGCCGCTGTATAAGCACCCATATTAGGGAACACAAGCCAGTCACCAACCTGCAATTCCGGCAACTGATGACCCGTCAAAACCGTGTCAAGAGCATCACACGTCGGTCCGAAAACCGTGGAACTGTAGCTCCTTTCTCCTTTGCACATGGGATTCGCACAGTTAGAATTGCAAGCTAGAGGTGTGCATGTGATAGTTGCGTGATCATTTAAAATACAGTTCAGGGAGCCGTAAATACCGTCATTAATCCAGTACTCTCTTAACTCTCCTCTAACACGTTTTCCTATAATGTTGGTGGCTAATGTGAAAGGCGACTCGGCAAAAAAACGGCCCGGCTCAGAAATGATGGTTAGGTCCGGTTCATTTGAGAAATAAGCTTGCAGGGCGGGTTTAATAGCTGTAGCCGCTTCGTCAAATAGGGATCCAGCGGTGAAGCCCCCGCCGATGTTCAGAATCGTCATTCTAGGCATGCCAAGATGAGCTGCGGCTTCAAATACAGATTTAGCCGAAGCTATTCCTCCTTCGTATGCTTGAGAATATGTGGCTCCGCTTCCTATATGGAACGAAACACCAACAACATTGAGCCTAGCCGTTTGAGCGGCTTCGAGAAGAGGCGTGACTTCTTCAGGAAGCGCGCCATATTTGGAACCCAGTGGACACCTTGCTCCACTGTCTTCAAGGGCTGCTTTAATCCGAATGAGCAATGCACATTTCGGATGCCATTTTTGAATTTTGTCGAGCTCTTCTTTTGAATCAAAAGTAGTTAAATTGACACCCACGCTGGCTGCGTATTTTATGTGTGACTCTTGCTTGCATGGATTCGCATAAACGATTCGGTCCGGAGAGACTCCCAGAGATAAAACCAATTCTATTTCGGCCTGGCTAGCACAATCAAAGTTTGAGCCAAGAGCCGCCAATGAACCGAGGAGAGCTCGTTCAGGATTGCACTTGACGGCGTAAAAGGGACGTGCCATGGGAAGGGTACGTGTCCACTTGTCAATGAGGGCAGCCACCACTCCTAAATCTAGCACGTAGAAGGGCTCTTTGGTTTCTTGTTCCTTAGAAATTATTGACCGCATGAAATCAGTCAAGCCGGTTTTTGGTAACGCCGTGACCCTCTTGCCTGTAACACCTGGTGCACCCAATATAACACCTTGGAGGTTCCTGGTGATCGACCCCATGTCTAAAATTTAAGGGCTTGAAGAAAGGAAAATTACCAAGGAAGAAGAGGATTCGAGAGTATTTGAAGGATTTATATTTGGAGGGTATTTATAGTGATAATTGAGAGAAACAGAAGTCAAGACACTTGGTGTTTGCACCACTATTTGGTGCAAAAAAAGAAGGAAAAAAAGGGTGAATTTTTGAGTTACCTTTAGAGCTAAAAAGAATCAACAGCATTTTTCCTTCTGAAGTGAATTACCAAGCCAGTTTGGTATAAGCCTGTTAAGGGGTTTTGTGTGTGAAGACAAGCTGTTGATTAATTTATATATGGATGATTAACGTGGGTGGTCATTTGATGAAGAGTTTGAGGTTGATTAAAACTCTTGTGGGGCAGCTATAACATGGGATGTTCAAAATGATTCTTGTCGTGAAATTTGCGTGCAAGCGGTGAATGGGACGAGCCTGCGTGTAAAATACGTGATTCTCTTCGCTTTGTATTGAAGGACAGCAACAGATGTTGTAGGACAGCAACAGATTCCTACTCCTGCAATCAGATTGCGGAGTTTAACCTCAACACAAATTGCACAACTCGCAGAGTTTCAGTTTAAGTCCAACACAAGTTGCAGAGCTTCCTTCTTACTGCAATGTTACGATTGCTCTGCATATAATTGACAGTATAGTAGTTAATAGACATAGACATTGATATGACCATAACTTCCTCTGCTGTAACAGAAATCAAGTGTGTGTGCGCGCGCGCGCGCGCCTCTGCTGCTGTAACAGAATTGATATGAAATAAGATTCTTCTTTTTCTTTGTTTCTCACTTTGACACTCATAACTTTGATACAAGAGATACCAAGGCTGGATTTGAATTTCTATAGCTGCTTTGATCGGACGATTATGACCATTGAAACAGCGTAAAGGAGACTAATTTTCTTGAATCGATTCATCCCTTACATCATTCGAAGCTTTTTTCTAGGTACCTTGTTACTCTTTAGTTCTGAACATGGCATGTGGTTGAAGTTCTAGTAAAGCACTCCTTCTGTGACCAGCGACCACGCCGACCCAGCTTAGATTTCTTTTCACTAAAGTCTTCCTTGGACCATCGCAGTTTGTCAAATTTCACGAATACCTCTGTTTTATAACAAGAAACATGTACATGCCCCATGATTTGCACGCAAAACTCCCTTCTTAAGTCCACTGGATATGAATTAGCCAAATTGATGTTGAGTGAGTAATTTTTTTAGGTGAAGGTTATATTCTGGATCACGTGTTTCTTTTGGTTCAGTTCAGTTCAGTGAAGGGCAAGTGAAGAAAAGAGAATGTCATATTGAGATTCCACAGTGCTGATGACTGATGAGTATGATATCAATATGAAAAGGGGTACCTGTTTATTGAATAAATTTCTATCGCCAAATGTAAGCAAATTCTGACATATTGTTGCGGCAGCTGCTGCTTTTTATGGTCCATTTTGATGCCTGATTCATGTTAGGAATTGCCATTTCGTGGCTACCCACTTACACTTAGTAAAGCTTATTCAGTGTTATTATTAAGGTCATGTTTCATGGTTTTTAGTCTTTTATTTTGTGCTATAATTTATAGCTTTTTATTTGTTATTATTGACTGTAAATAAAGATATTATTTAAGAAAAAAATAAAAAAAAGAACAAAAATGAAAAAAAAAGGCATGCAATGGCAATAGCCTTGCTGTCATTGCAACAGTTGCAAGTGTAGCAATGAGAACTAAGTGTTGAGTAAAGTGAATATGATTATCTTCCTTCATGTATTTGTATTGTATTCTTTCTTTATCTCTAATAATATGAAACTCTACCGTGAATATAGGTGATTTGTCAAACCACATTAAATATTGTGTCAGTGTATTTAGCCTCCAATGGGTACCTATCAGAACATCGTCGGTATGAAACCTTAACAGTTTAGGCCACTACTGCTTCTGGACTTCCCAGTTAGGAGAGATCGATAGAATAAAGATGAACCAAACTAATTGTATCCTGATATCTATTGGATGTCCTGTTAATGCTTCAAATTCAGAAAGAAGATGCAAAATCATCACAATTTCTCAAATGAGAATAAGTTCAAAGACTGATTGTTACCCACACAGGTGATGGCAAAATAAATAAGGACTGTTTATCTTTTAGGCCTCTCTCATAAAAAAAAATATATGGACCGCACGACTGTTTAATCTGATATAAGGGCGATCCTGAATGCTGGACATTTTTATCATGGATGTTGCACGTCACCCCTGCAGCATCATTTGCGATTTTTCATCTCGTTTGCTTGATTGGTTCTTTGAAAGTCGCAACCCAGTATTTAATTAAGAGTTACTAGAAAACCTAAATGTACCGATCTTTGTCAGATATTCAAAAGTAAAGGACTGATTTTGGCTAGGAAATGTACTAGCACCCCCTAGCGCACCCTACATAAAATAAGCTACTGTATGATTTAATATGTTTCAAAAAATAAAATATTAGCTTAAGTCTAAGGTTTTAATAAATCAGTTATTAAATCCCATAATATGTATAAAAACATGTTCTTATATTTTTATAGAAAATAAAACATGATTTTATTTTTATTTGAATTATTTAACCATATTCAGATTAACCACTTAATTCTTTTTATCTTTTTTATTTTTATAATTCAATAACATAAATAAATAAATAAAACACACCCACATCCCTTTTTATTATGATTAGTCACACATAATTACATATTTACAACATATCTGAAAAAAATTCAAATAAATCAAAACACAATTGTATCTAAATATACACATTATCTGGAAATTACTAAAAAAAAAAATCCTCAGGAACATCTGGAAATATAAATATC